AGCAGAGCCATGCCCTAGGCTGTCTTACAGTGCAGTTCTGAACTAGAGAAGACCTGAGTGTCAGATGAGTCCCTGGGATCAGCAACTCAAGCTGACTGAAGAAAGCAGGCCAGGCAGAGGAGACTGGTGTTCTAGAGATGCCAGAGACCCATCAGAACCCCTCAGACAGGCAGAGACAGGCAGCAGGTTTGGCTACTCAACAGAAACAGACATGGAACAACCACAAGCAGGTGCACACACATGCCCACATGCACAWCTCCTGCTCCCAAAGTCTAGCCTGGGACCTTGGGCTTTGGTGGCCCCCTGAAGCAGGAGCTTATCCTGAAGAAGGTTAGTTGTCAAGCAGTCAGAAGTTTAAGTGCAGCTTCCTGTCATGGGCATATGGGGGAAGGGGAATAGAGGACCATCAGCAACTTCTGGGGAGCCATTTAAATTTAAAACAATCCTTTTTAAGGACTGGGGATGTAGCTCAGTAGTATAGCACTTCCTAGCATACCCAAGGCCCTGTGTTCTATCCCTAGCATTGCAAGAGGTTTAGAATTCTAACATTTTAATTTATTATATGTCCATAATGAGGACATCAGGTTCTATAACCAAACCTTGGTTATTTCCTTTTTGCAAAAACACTTAAAAATGAGTACATTATGCATGCAGTTTTCTTGTGTTGCTCTTTAATTTTGAGCGAATGCATTTTAAATAGAGAATGCAGCTTCTGAGTAGYACAGATCCTGCTCTGAATGTGCTCCTTTCTCACTCTTATCTTCCTTGTGAAAGAAAAGTATCAGGCATTATTAAGTGAAAAAATCCGAATGTTACCTTTAAATTTACCTGAACTGAAATATTTATTCCCCTAGAACCATATCTGTACATTTTTAGTGTTACTTTGAAAAGTAGAATTCAGGAAAGATGCTTACTTTGAGTTGACACTCTGACCTGCTAGGGGCAGTGAAGGGTATTCCTCTAGCCCCTCCCTTCGGATGCTTAGGAAAGGGGTGGATCTTGCCCTGCCCTGCTGACTTCCTGGAGCAGAGCTGGYGCTCTAGGGTACCACGAAGACTCCTGATTAACTTTATTTTGCTTCCTTAAAGTGCTTTCAAGACTATCAGATATTGAGTAGCTGTTTTAAAGATTTGGAGCAATGGTAGGGAAAGCTGGCTATGAGGTTTTATAGGACTTCACCTAGAATTAGGTATGAAGGAAAGAAAAGGAGTGCCCCCCCCCACACACACACACACGTGGAAGTGCTGGGCAGAGTATTGGCCAAACTGTGTGGTTACATTGTGTGCATGTAATAACAGATACCATCATTATGTACAACTATAATGCACCAATAAAAAGTGTGGAAAGAAAAAAGAAAGAACCCCCCTCCACAGAGACCCCTCCACAGCTCTTCTCCTTCAATACAGAACAGTGGAGGAGGGGCCAGGCCATTGCAGGCTGTGAGCCCAGTGGCCACTTCCCCCACTGACCACACTTTCTCACATTGGTTAGTTTTCTTTGAAATTTTAGCATTTATGGTAATAAGACTATTGATCTCTTTGCTTGCTTAAAAAAGACTTCACTCTGACAGTCTTTATTTAGAGAGCTTTCCCGAGGCCCCCCCCCCCGTTTTCTTTAAAAAATAAGGATGGTAATATCTTCAAGAGACAAAGTTTGGCTTTATAATTAGGTTCTGCCTGTAAATAAAGAAATGKGATCTGTTTCTCTCTTGACACTAACAGAGGTAACAGCATGTAAAATTGGACTTCAAACACATTGTTAGCTGGCCACAGCAGCGCAGGCCTGTCATACCAGCTGCTCCAGAGGCTGAGACAGGAGGATTCCAAGTTCGAGGCCAGCTTCAGCAGTTWAGCAACACCCTGTATCAAAATTTAGAAATGAAAATAAAAAGGGCTTGGAAAGGAACAATTCCCACTACTGCAGAAAAAGTTCCTGCGGAAGGTGGGCGGGAGTGCGTGGTGCCAGGGAGGGTTCTCCAGGTCTCCATCGTGTAGTCTTGTGCAGTACATTGCAGGGAGGTGCTGCTCYTCGCTCCTTTCTTTCTTTTCCTAAGACGTGCTTTTGGCTGCTGTCCCCTTTTGAGCTCCATAAGCAGGAGTCCTTCTCTCTRCTGGCTGGCTGCATGTCCCAGTTGCTGTGGCCTGTGGCACATGTGGATGGGGTGTAACCTTCACTGTTTGGCTGCTCTTCCTGGCCTGTCCCAGGAATGGGGAAGCCACTGCTAAAACCTGCAGGTGCCCTCTGCCTCCCTTTGTGGCCTTTCTCCTTCTCCTGATCTTGGACCAGATTTTTTGCCTTGTAACTGAGTTGAAACTGATGATTTCAGCATGAAGTTTCAGGGGAGGCCCCTCTTTGGTAACTGACTAATTCWTAAAGTCACCTGAGCTGGGAAGGTCAAAGGGAATTTTCACTACCTCACAAAGTCATGGATGAGCAGATTTACCTAATATTCTTCCTTCTGTATTTAAAATATTTAGTGGTAGTTCATAGATATTATAGTGAAATTTAGTTGTTTTCTAGTTAATGTGTATTTTCTGTCACAAAGTAGAAAATATTTCTTGGATAAATACGGTACCTTATTAAGGTTTGCATTAAAGCCAATTAAGGTCCCTTCTCACTGGTAACAGGAATTTGAATTTTACTTGGTGCACCGTAGGCATTTTTCTAGACTTATGAGGCTCGGTAAATGTTTACTTTCATCCATTCCTTCAGCTAATATTTACTCATTATTACTAAGTCATGGGTTTGCTACTAAGCACACAGCAGTGAGCAGGACGACCCAGCATCTGCCCATGGGGCTCACCATCTAGTACTTGGGTTCGATATTCCTGAGTGTGCCTTTCAGTCCTTCCAGTAACATTGTGGAGAAGAGGTGTCATGCCCCCTCACCAGTGGTGGAGCTGAAATATTTGCCCCATGCCACTCAGTGGGCCCGACCTGGGACACACACCCAGGCCCTCTGGGTGTCTCCCCTAACTCAGGCCCTCTGGGTGTCTCCCCTGCTTTGAACCTTTGAGTTGTGATGTGGAGCCGTTGGGAGTCGTGTGTTCTTAGCAGCCTGGGAGTGCTGACGGGCAGGACCTCTCCCTTCCTCAGGAGGAGACTCTGCCCAGGTCGTCCAGCGACAGCAGCGCGTCTCCCTCCTTCCTCGAGAACCCAGCGCTGGAGGCCACGTGCGTGAGGAAGAGTGAGTACCCAGGGCACACATGGCCCAGACCAAGGAGCCCAGAGCTCCCTGTGACCTTTGGGATGTAAAGCCCCAACCCTGGGTCTCACCATCACAAGCAGGAACACCTGGCTACTTTCTTAGCTGCCCTCCAGAGGTAGGCTAACCTGGTCGCTGGCCTCAGTTCTAATGTGGAGCAGGTGGGGCACGTTTGAGTGTGACAGATAATGTCGGAAATAAGTCCTCGAGGGGTGTGCCTGTCTTAGATTAATTACCTCTTCTGAATTTGAGCAGTAAGCCCTAAATAATCATATTTGTGCCTTCTGGGACACACACACACACACACACACACACACACCCACCTTCATTCATGCACGTGAATATGCTTCCAGAAGATATCATAGGAGAATTTAGTAGATTCTGAACACAGAATCTACAGGCAGTAGATTCGGAACACAGATACCTAAATGAAGGTATTGATTTCTAAAGGCTTTTAGTAATCTTTTACCCATAAGATTATTATAAAGAACTGAAAGCTAATTACATATTAAGAGTCTTTTGACTTCTTGTACACCAGAGAGCTTAGTGRTTAAAATTCTTTACATATCATTTCAGTTACTTAAAAAGATTATTAAAAAAAAAATCAGGAAGTGGTTTGGGTTTCTATGTGTAATTAGTATTTGGTGAGGCCCAGCATAAGGGACCCAGTTCAGCCACAGGAGGGATTTCTGCATCTTTCTCGACTGCTGTCTCGTAAGGGGACGGTGCAAGTTGGTGGGTCTCGTTTGACTCTTTTGGCCCTGCTGATCCACCCACTGGCTGAAGCGGCCCTCCTTTGCAGTAGAGCAGGAGGGGGTACTCAATCAGACTGTCAGGATGATTTATTTCTAATGTTCTCCTTGTGCTTTCAAAGGGTGAATCCAGCACCATTCAGATTTGAAAAGTTCTTTCACRCCCTTTCCCAAAATACTACTAGGCAGAGGAGCAGCAGCTACAATGTTAACATCAAGCCTAATTTTTTTTTTGTTTGCAACTTAAATACAATTTAAACCTAAGAATAAAATATCTGAATAAAGAGGATGCACTTAAGAATTCTGGGATGGTTTGGGAGCTTTTTTGGCTATACAGAATACATATTTTTACATGTTTTAAAATAATGCTGGAGATGTGAATTGTAAGACTAGATCCAGGAGTGTGCTGTGCTGTGCTTCCTCATGTGAATTTGACGGAGTGTTCAGAACAGGTTTTCCTTCTCCTTGCCACTTGGCTGGGAGTCCCTCTGGGTCCCCCKTAATCTGGCCACCACTGGCCTGCAGTCTCTCCTGGAACGCGGTGCTATCACATTGACTGGGCTCTCCGTCGGAAAGTCAAGGCCTAAAATTTCTGTTCTGTAAGAGAGTCCTTTGTTGGGTTCGCCTGCAGAGCCCCCAGAGTTCCTGCCCATATCGTCCACCCCACAGCCCGAGCGGCGGCAGCCGCCCCAGCGCCGGCACTCCATTGAGAAGGAGACGCCCACCAATGTGAGGCAGTTCCTGCCCCTGACCCGGCAGAGCTCCCGCTCCCTGGTGAGTACCGGCTCCCAGCCCCCCAGAGACCTGGAGTCAGTGGCTTTCTTCCAAAATGATAAGGAGAAAAGCTTCCCAAAGGTTAAAATGAACTCCAAGTAACTTACTCTGTATGTGAAGAAAATAGGCGCCAACCTGAGTGAAATCCCCAGAATATTTATCAGTGTATTATTATTAAGGAAATGCTTTCTTTCAAAGGACATTAATTCATTTAAAATTGTTAAAGGCTAATCTAAAAATTCTTAGCAAAATCTGACCACMGTAGAGGATTGTATTGGAACAGAAGGGCTAGGAGAATTTTGACCCATGTATAACCATTGTACATTGTTTTCTAGTATGTTCTGTGATGTTGGGCCAAAGCTGCTATTTGGATTGGTTAACAGTTTCTGCTATTTTCCAGAGCATCCAGGTTTGTTTGTTTCAGTTGTATGACCGGGGATCCAACCCAGGTGTGCTCTACCTCTGAGCTACATCTCTGGGCGTTCTGATTTTTATTTTGAGACAGGGTCTCACTGTGTTGCCCAGGCTGGTGTTAAACTTGAGATCCTCCTGCCTCTGACCCCCAAGTAGCTGGCATTGCAACTGTGCGCCACCATGTCTGCCTGATTATCTGGTTCACATAGTGGCTACTCACTTCTCAGGACATGGGACAGCATGTTAGTGCCTGCCAGGAAAAATTAATAGATCAGCCAGCCAAAGGAGGCCTGTGTAGATTCTTTTTAGCCCTCTTACATGGGGCGGCATATAAGGCTTCAGTTTTCTACCCACAACCTAATATCTAATAATGTTTTTCCAAGTACTCAGAATAAAAATCACCACCATATCCTTACCCCCACTTTGGGGCTGTGATGAAAGTGAAAGTTTTCAGTGAAGCAGCAGCAGCAGATGTCTCTCAGGGTAGGGGGAGAGTGGTCATTGTGAACACAGGGAGTTTGAGCAGAGCTGAGGGCTGACGTGAAAGCTGAAGTGGGATCAGTCTTCTCTATTTTCAAACAATGCAGTGAAAGAACAAACGATGTTATGGTTGTTCCTCAGGAGGCTCCCCTAACCTCTAAATAAGCACGAAGCACTGCTGTTGGATCAGCAGAGAAGCAGAACTCTGGCCATAATTCAAACCTTAAATCCAGACTTTTGCCAAGTGCAGGAGTGTAATCTCRGTGGCTCTGCGGCTGAGGCAGGAGGATGGCAAGTTCAAGGCCAGCCTCAGCAGCTTAGCAAGGCCCTGTGCAACTTAGCAAGACCCTTTCTCAAAATTAAAAAGAATAAAAGGGGGAGGGGTGGCGCTGGGAACATGGCTTAGTAGTTGAACACTCCTGGGTTCAATCTCTGGTACCAAAAAATAAATAAAGTCCAGACTCTCAATAACATATATCAGTTATTGTCACAACCTAAACACATAAGCAGGAGTTCTCTGGGATGTTTGGCTGGTCTGATAATTARGATATTCTTTTCTTTGCCCTGAGGTTAGACTCAAACTAAAGGAATTAGAGTGCAACTAAAAGTAGTTCCACCTAATAAGAGAAGTACCAGGACCCTCAGCCCAACAAGGGCTCCTGTGCACTTGGTCTTGCTGTGGGCTGTTCCTTTGAGGGTAGGAAGGAGATCAAGACAAACTTCTTTTGCAGGCACTGAGAAGGGCCTGAGGGACAGGCAGCAGGAGAGCAGCTCTGCTGACGCAGAGGGCATGCAGGTTGGAGGACAGGGAGGGCATGTGCAGCCTGGAGGACATCCTCGGCCCCACCTGGTCCACCAGCTAAGGCAGAGGAACTTCCAGCTCCAGGCAGAGACTTCCCACTAGCAGCTTATCTTGGGAAATCCACAGAATCATACTTCTGTAGCAGTTCACTCTAGCTTGATTGGGCCCTTTTCTCAAAGTGTGGTCATCAGTTTAAAATTGTGTCTGCATTTTAGAAAACAAGGGATCACTGTGTGTGTGTAGCCCTCGGCTGGAAGTGGCCGGAATGCTCTGGCATTGATAGTTTTACTTTATCGTACTTCCTCCCTTCCCACAGGAGGTTCAGGTGTCATTTTCCCATCATTTGGTCGAGTGACTAGGGGCGGTTGCCCATCCAGGTGAAAGGAGAGAGTCTTTCAGGAACTTCTTGAGTGGGTGTCTGTGTGCCTTGTGTTCACTCCAGGGCTTTCTTGGCAGAGGAAGCGGTGGCCTGTCCTGCATCCCCACAAGCCCCATGTGGGAGACTCAGTGCTCACAGGACCACCCAGTTAGGAAAACCCTTTTCACGGCTTTGCCGTGTGAGCTGAAAACCTCCACCCAGCTCTTGGCTGGTTCCTGGCCATAGGCCTGTGTGCGCAGGCGTCAGCGGGGATCTCACCACCATCCTCCGGTGCTTCTTGTTTTGTTTTTCTTTCATGATCTGCAGCTGCTGTTTTTTAGGTTCAGTGGTGYCATTTCTCCTGTCGTCCCCTGCCACTGTCTTCTCCCTTCTGTTGTTCAGGTTCCTGGGATGAGCAGCGCGTGGCCCCGGACGCCTTTCCGGCCGCTTTTCTCTACCCTACACACAGCTTCTCTTCTCAGCTCCCATCCTCTTGAAGCGGCTGTGTTTGGGGTGGCAGGGGCTGTGTACTATCTGTGTGAGAGAGCTTTTACCAGCAGGTGGACCTCCTCCAAGGTTGGCCTCTCTCTGCCGGTGTGGGAATTTCCATCTCTCTGAGGGTGATGCCTCAGCTCCTGTCCTCCGCAAGAATTAACAGCCTGGGCACTTTGCTTCTGGTCCTTGATTCCAAGCTTGTGTAGGATGCGTAGGTCGTGCCGTGATCTCATTCCAGAGGGGAAAGGACAACAAACTCAAAATGCAGCAGGGATTAGAGAGCCTGCTGGGCATTTTTCTCTTGGAGCAAGTCTTTGGCAGGGGCAGTGCCCCTTCCTGGGAGGTCCCAGCTGCATTCCTCCAGGGGCCTCCCCTGCAGCCAGAAGAGTTTGCTCAGGACCTGGGGTGGGGGGGGGCTCAGCAGCCTCCTACCCCCAGGCAGTGCTGGGACTCCACCCTCTGTGAAGGTGCTCCGGCCACTTGGGGCAGCACCTGTCATAAACTGCACCRTGGTGGGCAGGGTGCTGCTTCACTGTGGAGAGAGGCTTACACTTTCTTTGTATTGATGTGGTTATTTTAAATTTTTTAAATCTGCATGTCATTGCATTTTTTTTGGAGCTTTTTCTCACAGAAGGACACATTTTACTGGTATTTGAGCCTTCATAATTTAAAGACAGCAGCAAGAGCAGGTGCCACTGAACCCCCAGGTCCTGGCTTCTCAAGGCTCCCCCTCAGGGTGACCCAGCAGCTGCTATTTTTTATTACTCGTCTTGGAATAGAAAAGAGACCCCAAATGTGAATGCACACTTTCCTCTTGTCAGATCTCAGCCTTTTTCTATTTTAGACCTGGTTTGGGCAGAGTATGGTCAGGTGCAGGGTGGCCTTCAGTGCCTCCCAATCCTGCCRGTCAGCATTTTATGACCAGCCTCCCAACAGAGAGATCCCCGCACAAAAACCAAGTAGTGCTTTAGGCAACACGAGGATTCACTCTGGCCTTTATGGTTGAATTCTAAAAATGGTTAGCCTAACTAAACTTAATAGTTGCTATTCTTATTTATTTAAAGTTGCCTCCCTTTGATATATAAAAGCTTGAAAATTGGTGGTTATTTTGGATAGTTTTCAGGTATCTACTACTTATGTGTGACGTTTTTGCTAATCAAGAACATTATAGAAAAGAAGTCTCTTCCCATTTCTCTGGCTCAGTAACTAGAGTTTTACACTCTGATCTCTGCTGCCTAACTTTGCCCCCTTTCATATAGTAAAATAGGACAAGAATATTCAATAAAAGTTTTGCAATCTTAATGACATGCACACAGGTTAAGTTCTGAGGCATGTCTGTCCGTGTAGCAGATTGTGACCTCTATTGGACTTTCCTAAATTTGAGGGTCACGTTGAAGTACAGAGAAGTAAGGRGACAGAATGGTGCTGGCCCCAGYCCTTATCCACCTGCCCACATCTAGCCATCAGGTGAGCTCAATGCCCCCTGCAGGAGTGACAAAGCAATATCCCTATGGGCAGCTCTCTCTCACCCTTAAACCCCTGCTGCTTTTCMCATTTTGGAGCAGTAGCCGCTCAGCAAAGTCTGTAAAGTTTAATTTGATGTTGGGTATGTCAAATTACTGTTTCTCTCGATTGGGTGGGGGGGACTTTTCTAGTAACTATCTGTCATTTTATTTCATGTTGCATTAAAGTTTTGTTGTCCTTGGGAAGGCTCCAGAATTAAAACATTAGCATTTTGCCTGATAGATATTATTTTACCGAAGGGTAGTCTGCTTGAAAGAAAAAAGAAAAAAAAAAGAAACAGAAATCTATGATTCATATGAAGCACTGGATTTGCAGATGGTTCAAAGCAGGAAGTCGCAGGTACACTTGACTAAGCCCTTTTGTGACTAAAGAGAAGGCAGCACAAGCTGTCAGGTGTATTGTGTGTGGTACCATGTCCCTACAAATGAAAAGGAGTTGCTGTCTACCTGAAATGTGTAGCAGCCCAGGTATGCTGGTTGTGAAGTCAACGAAACTGGCACTGCTGGGTGTCTTCSTGCACAGTGATGAGTGTTATGTGGCACTGTGCTAGGTGACAGACTTAGGAGTGACTACCTGGTTACTTATTAGATCCACACATTATTTTGCTGCAGCTTAGCAAATTTATCATAGACTCAGCCAGCAGCGAGGTCCCATACTCACGCTCACCACTGATGAATAGGAATGGCTGCAGAAAACTTCTGAAATATGGTGAAGCCGAGTAGGGCCACYGCTAGCTGTGTYGAGCCAGCTCTGCTTGTTTACTGCAGTTTCAAYGCCTGACCTTCAAAGGCACTCACTGTTCCCACTTGGCCCCACTCTCTTCCCAGGGCAGAGCCAACCACAGTGGATAAT